TGATGCTGCTTGGCCTGCTGGGTTCATCCAGCTCTACACCTTTTTATCTCAGGTTCTCCAGCATCTGCAGTTCCTACTATCTCTGGACAGGTATATAGATAGGAAAGATTTAGAGGGACATGAGCCAAATGCAGGCAAATGGGACTCATTCAGTTTAGGAAACATGGTCGACATGGATCAGTTGGACCGAAGGATGTGTTTCCATGCCGCTCATATTGAAATTGCTACTTTCCGCTTTATTGACAAGTAGTATAGGAAAAACAATGCAGAGTGCTTTTCAATTGGCAGCTACTTACCAGTGTTCTATTAAAACACTTAAGAAATATAGTCACTTATAATTTGTGGGTCAGTAACATTTCGAGTGGAAGATAGAAAGAGCTAATGATTTTTTACTTTGCCCTGAAATCTGAATTTAGAAAAGCACTATAATTTTGCATATTCCTTCAATTGTGCAAATCATTTGACTGAAATTTTCAGATTCGGGTACGTCATTATTTCAAAAACTGGAATTGCTGGAGAAACTCAGCAGGTCTGGCAGCATTATGGAGAGAAAGCAGGGTTAACATTTTAGGTCCAGTGATCCTCCTTCAGAACTGATTATAGCAAGGAAAAGTTGTTATATATGCTGAAGGTGGGGGGAGGGGTGAGGAGTAAATGATGAGTGGAGATGGAACCCAGAGAGAGAACAGCAGTTGGGCAGAAAGGAATGGGTAATGGTCAGCTTGGGAGAATCACTAGTTGCTAATGGGGACTATTAGTGGCTAACAATAGATTGGTGTGATGCCAAGGGTTGGGGGAAGGACACGGAAGAGGTTGCTCAGGCCCGAACATTATTGAACTCAATGTGGAGTCCAGGAGACCACAGGGCACGCAAGTGGAAAATAAGCTGTTCTTACAGCTTGTGCTGAGCTTTGCTGGAGCACTGCAACAAGTTGGAGACAGAGACATTGACCAGTGAACACAGTGGTGTTTTGAAGTGCAAGCAACTGGAAGCTCAGGGTCATTTTTGCAGACAAAACTTAGTTGTTCTGCAAAGTGGTCGACCAGTCGGTCGCACGCCATTGCTATTGAAAAAGACTTCCATTGCCCTCATGAAGATTTAATTGAACCTTTCTCCACCACACTTCCAGGCAGTGGATCTCATACCCTAACTACTCGCTATGTGAAAAAGCTTTTTCTTGCATCAACCTTTCTTTCATTTGTACATTACTTTAAAATCTGTCCTCTCATTATTGTTTCTATTACAAGTGGAATCTGCTTCTTCCTATCTACTCTGACCACCCTGCTTATGATCTCGTCTCAGCTTCTTGTATCTAGGGAAAACAGTCCCAACTTTATCAATCTGTCCTCCACCGTTGAAGTTTCACATAGTTGGAACTGTTCTTGTAAATCACTTCTGCAGTCTCTTCATCACATTATGCATTTTTCTTACAATGTGGTACTCACAGTTGTAAACAATACTCTAGCTGAGGTTTAATGATTGTCTTGTACAAGTTCAACATCACTTCCTTATTCTTGTATTCTATATCCCTATTAATAAAGCTGAGAACACTATGCTTTATTTATTGCTTCCTCTACCTCTCCTGCCGCCTTCAATGATCTATGCACAATATGCACTCTCATCCCTCTGCTGCTGCACTTCCTATTTTGTTTGTCGTTCGGTGTTCTTCTGACCAAAGTGCATCCTCTCGCACCTCTCTGCATTGAACCTCATCTACCACCTCTGCATCCACTCTGCCAACTTGTCAGTGTTCTTTTGGACCACCTCACATTTTACAATTCTTCGAAGTTCAGTGTCATTTGCAAACTTGAAATTTATCCCCTGCACACCAAGATTCAGATATTCATGTATATCAGGAAAAATAAGTGTCCCAATACTGATTGCTGGGGAGCTTCACTACAAGCCTTCCTCTAGCCAGAAAAATACCACTTGAACCTTACTCTTTGTCTATTGCTCAGCCAATTTTGTATCTGTGTTGTCACTGTCCCTTTTATCCATAACCTAAATCTTTCCTCACAATGCTGTTGTCAGGCATTGTATCAATTGCCTTCTGGAAATCCATCTAACCACTACCCTCATCAGCTCTTTCTGTTGCTTCAAAAAAACTTCGTTAGTTAAACATGATTTCCCCTTTAGAAATCCATGCTGACTCTTCTTAATCAACCCACCTTTTTCCTGTGACTACTGATAATCGTTTTGAAATGTTTCCCCACTACTGAAGTTAAACTAGCTGATTTTCAATTTCTGGATTAGCCTTACAACCTCTTTTGAACAGGGTTGTAATGTTAGCAAATCACCAGTCTCTGGTAGCACCCTGGAGTCCGGGGAAGACTGAAATATTGTGGCCAGTGCCTTTTCAATTTCCACCCTCACTTCCTTCACGATCCTTGGATGCATCTCATCTGGTCCCGATGTCTTGTAACCTTTAAGTGCCAGCAATCAATCCAAGACTAGTACTTGTTAATTTTGATCCTTTCTAGTGGTTGGGGTTGGATAGCAGCATCCTCTTTTGTAAGGACGGATGTGAAATATTCATTTAATATCTCAGCCATGCCCTCTACTTCTGTAAATGACCTCTGATCAGCCCTGCTCCTCCTTTCACTACTACCTGTAGAAGACTTTCAGACTTCACTTTGTTATCTGCTATTCTTTTCACATAGTTTCTGTTTGCTTTTCTTTTTTGTTATTCTCCCCCCACTATTTTCCCCCTACCTAAAATGTTTGCTTTCTTGTCGATTCTCAATTTTATGTTCTGTCTCAAAACCTGTCATAACCACAACTTTTCTTTCTAAAGTTAATTTCTACTTCCTTGACCATCCAGGGAATGCTGGATTTGTTGTCCTATCTTTTGTATTAGAGGGAATCATCTTGACTATATCCGAACATTCATCTTGAAGTTGGCCTGTTGATTTTTCTCCCGGACTCTTACTCCATTCAATCCTGCTGTCAACTCTGTTCTAGCCAATTGAAGTCAGCTCTCCACCAATTGATTTTTCTCACTCTTGATTGTTGCATGTCATTCTCCAACAACAACTTGAACCTTATGAATCAATGATCACTGTCTTCTAAATGTTCCCACACTGCAATGTAATTACACCCTTGTTATTGTGTAGCTCTAGCCAAGTTGACTCTGTGTTTGAACCATCTAAGACATTCTCCTTCTCCAGCACTGCAATGCCCTCCTAACCAACACTGCTATGCCTCCACTTTTCCTTCCTTTTCTATCTTTTCTGAACAACTTATGCTCGGGAATAGTTAAAGCCTAGTCTTGCCCTTCCTTCAACCAAGTCTCTGTCACCACCATACCAACATAATTCCACACTGCATTCTGTATCTGCACTTCCTACAAACAAAAGCTGAAATTGCTAGAACCCTCTGTTCTGACGCAGGGTCACTCAACCCAAAACGTTATCTCTGATTTCTCTCTACAGATGCTACCAGACCTACTGAACTTTTCTAGCAATTTCTGTTTTTGTTTCTGAAT